TCCAGGGTGTGGTCCTGTCCTGTGTCCTGTGATGGACTGGTGTCCAGGGTGTGGTCCTGTCCTGTGTCCTGTGATGGACTGGTGTTCCATCCAGGATGTGGTCCTGTTCTGTGTCCTGTGATGGACTGGTGTCCTGTCCAGGGTGTGGTCCTGTCTTGTGTCCTGTGATGGACTGGTGTCCAGGGTGTGGTCCTGTCCTGTGTCCTGGGATGGACTGGTGTCCTGTCCAGGGTGTTGTCCTTTCTTGTGTCCTGTGATGGACTGGTGTCCTGTCCAAGGTGTGGTCCTGTCTTGTGTCCTGTGATGGACTGGTGTCCAGGGTGTTGTCCAGTCTTGTGTCCTGTGCTTCTAGAAGGGTCCTTGGGACACTGTGACCCTCACTGAGAATAAGTGGGTTTCTGTTGATGAATGGAAGAAAGCAATTGAACCTTTATTTAGAAAAGGACATTTGCCCCCAATTCAATGAATAGAAAAACAAATGCTTCTCACATATAACTTAACAGAAAATATAAATATAAATATACATTGTACATTATCAACTGTATTTTTTATAAGAATTATAAACTATTTTATATAGAGCCTTCGACAGTGGCTTCTTAAAGTCTTTACAGAGAGAATAACTATACAGTGAGAGGAGACAGAGAGCAGAGTTACACAACAGTTACAATGAGGGTTCGAATACACAGCAGAGGGCCACACAGAAGCAGTTCAGTCAGATCCCTTCTAAAGGCTTTCTTGGATATAAGGCCCCTTTACATGTATTGCTGCCTCCGGACCTGGAAAGCCGTGTCCTGTGACTGGGGAAGAGGTCGGTGTTGTGTCGGAGTGGTCCCTTGCCCTGCGGTGATGGCGACTGGTTTCCAGCCTGACCGCTCCCACCCGCTGTGTCGCGCAGGCTGAGGGCGGCCTGTGACCAGGCGGACCTGTACAAGAGGAAGCTGGACGTCCTGGACGATTACGAACGACAGATCCGCCTGCTGAAGGACGAGGTGTCTTTCCTGACGGCGGAGAAGTCCTTGCTGCGGGACAGGTGAGCTTTCCCTTGGGAATGTCCCTGGAGGCACGGCTCGGCTCCTGTGGAGGCTGTAAATCGCTTTGTGCTTTAGAGAAGCTCCAGATCGTGCTGCTCGATTATTAACATGACCTCTGCTTAGATTTCGAAGTTTCTTTAGAAAGAGTCTCCTTTCACTTCCTCTCTGCTTTGTGAGGAGAGTGGGAGAATCCCTTTTTATTGTAGCATCTTCTTAGATCTGCTGTACTGTACATACGGTATATACTGTAAAGGTGGGTGATTTAAACTTGCATGGCAGTGGCAATAATTCTTGATGCTTATTTTATATCTGTAGCACCTGTCATGACGCATGATCTCAAGACCCTTTACAGCAGGGGTAGCCCGTCCTGGTCCTGGTGACCCGACCCACACCTGTTTGGTTTTGGCTCCGTCCGAGCGCCCTCAGTCACACAATGTAACTCTTCCTTGACCGGTCCTGTGCTCCAGAGCTCTGCAGCCCCGTGTCTGTGTCGTTCAGGCTAACGAGGAGCCGGTCCCCCAGCCCGCTGCCCCGACGCAGCCGGTCCCCCAGCCCACTGCTGAGGAGCGACTCCCCAACTCGCGCCCAGCTCACCAGCTCCTCCCGCCACGCCCGCCTGCTCTCGCGCTTCGGCGATCTCTACTCCACCGAGCGCCTGGAGGCCCAGAACCTGCTGCGCCGCTACATAGACGAGCTGGAGATGGTGCAGAGGATCATCTTTATAGGCACTGTGGTACGAGCCCTTCTCGCACTGGACCAGCGACCTGCTGTTTTTCAATCACTGTATCGGCTCTTGACACTGTTCATGGCTGCATAATGAGCTACTGGAGCTAGAACATGCTTTTTTTATTTGAGTAAAATGATTTTTTATTGGTATTGGGTAGTTAAAAGGCAGCTGAAGAATGCTGTAAGTCATACTGTGTGAAAGGAAACACACTGGGATTAGTCTAAGCTCTTGCTACAATACCAGTAATACACATTTCATTTTTGAGCACCTTTCAAAAAACTTAAAAGTTCTGTACGATAGCACGGAGTGCATATAATGTACATAGTAAAATGAAGAGCACAGCAAATTGGTACAGTACACAGACAACAAAGCAAAAGTTTCCAGCTGTTAGTACCTAAGTACTCAAGTAGTGCCAAGTGTTAGTACTCGAGACTGTCCTGTAGTTAGAGGGGTTAGTACTCCAGTAGCTCCAGGTACCTGAGTGCTCCAGTAGCTCCAGGTCTCATTGCCGCACTGTTTCTGTTTCCCTGAGCCCAGGAGGCCTTCCATGCGGCAAAGATGGCCTACAGGCAGTTCAAGCTGCGAGTGAGGAAGACCCTCTCTCCCACACACGCGGGCCCGGAGTCGCTGGAGGATGCTGTGGTGGACTACATCGTCCGGAACCTGGACCTCTACGACGTCCAGGCCAGCGTGAATGTGGGTGCCCCCTCCTCCCTGCCCACTCCCTTTCCCACCCGCGTCAAGCCCACACTGGGACCCGACTGTCAGCGAGACTCCCAGCTCGACCGAGACACAAACTCAGCTTAAGATGCGTGCGAGTTATTGACTTTATCACAATTACATAGACCTTTCAGTAAGCTAACTTTGTTTGTGCCTGTAAGATGCCGATTTAATTCAGGAAAAAATAAACGGCAACTAGTGTGCGCCGTGTCCAAGTTAAACGTATTTTTGAAGAGGAAACGTATATTGACATTATATAGCACATGTATCTTAAAGCCTAAGAAATGTTGGACAAGATTCTATTTTCCACCATCATTACAGGGTTAATGCCAAGTGTGCTGTTCCTACGTATGCATCACCTCGTTGCATCTTCTCTTGATCGTCTCACGTCAGTTCTTGAGTAGTTACTGTACCTGTAAACTTGGTCGAATGGTAGCATTGCTCTGCCCCTGTGAGGGCACCATGGCTGGAGTGTGATAAGGCCTCTGAAAACGGAGCCACACCCAGTCGTGACCACACCCACACCTAACCACACCCACCGGTAGCCACACCCACCTGCTCATCGCACAAGGTTTCCGCAGACTCGCTATGGGCGATAAAGCGCTGGCTGCCTCTCTCCCCAGGACGTGATCAGCGCCATGAACGTGCACCCCAAGATCTCCTTCCCGCCGGAGGTGGACTTCATCCTCCTGGGCAGCTTCCTGCGCGAGGTGTGCCGCGTGGCCTTCGCCATGCAGACCCTGGAGCCGCCGCTGGACCTGGCCTTCAGCACGGACGGGGAGCTGTACAGCGAGAGCAAGTGAGCCTGCGCTCTTCATGCTGGGGGTCAATGTCCGTGCTTTAATGGCTAATAATAACTAGACTAGTTCAGGTGGGCAGCTGTGTCAGCAAAGGAACAAGTAATAGGTTTATTCCCTGCTGAAAAGAGAAGAAAGAAAACACAATGTCTTGCCGGGTGTTACTGCCCTGTCTTTCTCACACCTGAAGAAGGCTCCACGGCCAAAACATTGTGTGATAACAATAAATTGTGACAATAACAATAAACATTGTGTTTATTGTTATTGTCATCCTGTAAAGCGCTTTGAGAAGCCACCTTTAAAGGTGCTATATAAAATAAAGTTTATTAATATTATTATTATTATATTTTCTTTAGTAGCTCCACAGAGTATGTGCTTCCTGTATCCACCACTGGGGGTCTCCCTGCCCCAGCACAGTCACACAGCGCAAGTCGCAGGGAAGGGAGAAGTGTCAGATTTCTGAGACAGGAGATGGGGGGTGACAGGGCTTGTCCAGGTCAAGCCGGCCCGTTCAGGGGAGGTTTGAGCGCCCCCTCTCTCCTCGCAGGTACCGGCGCAGCTTCGACTCGGAGTACTCGGCCCCGCTGGTGGCGTACCACGTGTGGCCGGCCCTGGTGGAGGGAGACGCGGTCATCATGAAGGGAGAGGCCGTCACCCGGCGGGGCGCTCTGGTAACCTCGCTCTCTCCGCGGCCCTGTGCGATAACCAGCGACAACCGGCTCCCTGCATCGGTCTAAGCGCCTCGGGATGCCGGAGTATTTTTATTGGGAACGATGTCAGCTGATTTGAAAAACCTGCAGTCTGTGGATCGGTTTACAAAGAGGCTGGGCTGATAGGGGGTGAAATCATGACTGTCTGGCAAATCGGATCCTTGCAGGTTAGTTTGTTTTTCAGCATCTCTCTCTGGACGGCACCGCGGCGCCTTGCTTGGGTTGCAGCTTTGGTGGGTGATGGGTACTGCAAGGACAAGGCAAAAATGACAGGCTGTTTTGTGCAGCAGCAAACCCATTTAAAGGAGCTTGCTGCGTCACGAACCAAGTGTTTCACCACGATTGCCAACTCTTGCCCCCCGCAGTGGTCCCCCAGGAGAAGCAGGAGTAGGAGCTCCAGCCCTGTGCGCCCGCGGTCGCGAGCCGGCAGCCCCTCTCGACCTCTGGTGAGTTCGAACCGCCAGCCTCCTACAGCTCACATTAAACTAGACCAGCCACTGGTCTTAAACCACGAGGAGGCCAGTCTGTGCACCGAGCTCATTTGGCTCTCAGTAGCTAATTGACCTGAGGGTCTCATACAGCTGTTTCTTGAAAGAAGCCAGGGTATCGGAATATATGCTATCAATTTCTAAGCAAAAACATAGATCAAGAATTCTATGGGCTTGGGGCCACTGTAATAACCCATGCTAATTAAGGACTGTTGCGCTTTAATACAGAGACAGTAGCTTTGGACATTCTTGTCCTGTGCCTCTTCTGTTGCTTCGGCATTGTGTGTGTCCCCTGTCCCTCTGTCCTGCCCGTGTGTGAGCGCTGGCACTCCTGA